GCAATGAATATACTGGTTTCGCAACGAGTCACTAACAGAATCTAAAAACATCTAAACTATAACACTCTCAAAGAGATACAATATACTAGTTCCAACCGCGTGAAAAAATATATTCTAACGGATTATGTTCTCATCAAAATCCGTTCAGTACTTTTTGCGTGAAAGAGTCATCCGTAGTAAACATCCATATTTAAAAACTGTCACGTTTATAATATTATTAAGATTAAGATAAGATAAACATGTAGAAAATATTATTAATTTTAAGAATTTCAAAAATAGAAACTTACAGGGTTGCGAATTATTGAAATTCGACAATAAATCACAGATATACAAAATCGAGTTCTTTTAGAAGTAAATAAGGTTTTAATTAGATAGTACCATGATATCATGATATTGAATTAATAGCTGTACCCCATGTAAGGAACAAACGGTGCTAACTAGTGGCATTCGTGTTGATAATAATGGCTTCGCCTTGGCCACTCGTAATATGACAGTTTTTTGCTCACACTCCGTACGGACCGGGGAAATAGCAAATTAGATGGAAATAAAATGGTCTTTTAATAACATTTTTTATTTTTTAACTAACTTTAAAACTATACACACACTTTCGCACATTGCATGGTCGCGATTATCGATTACACACGTATTCATGTATATATTATATAATTTAATATTCAAATATTTGTAAGTTGTCTAGAGACCCATAATATAAGCTCTTGCTATCATGGGCCATGTTAATTGTCAAATTTATTTAGAATGAAACTTTACAGTAATATAACTTATGCATCAGAATAACATATAGGCTATATTTTTATTGAAATAAAGCAGGTGAAACAACGGGCACGTCTAATACGCCGTATGCTTGTTTGCCACCTAAGTGGTATAAAAAAAAAAAAAAAATATATTATTAAAAAAAAATGCAATGAAATGTTCCCAACGAGTCACTAACAGAATCTAAAAACATCTATATCTATCAATATACTATAAAAAAAATGCAACGGAATGTTCTCCACATGCAACCTGTTGTAGCAAGTACAGGGCGTATATCATGAATGTATGTGAGTACCTCATATTGGCTAGAGTTAGCGGTCAAGGCACACATGTTACTGAGTACGAATGTCACTATCGCACACTTGTATTGCACATACACACGCTGTATATATTATATAATTTAATATTTAAGTGTGGAGAGACCCTACCGGATCTTGGATATCATCCACAAATGAACTGACATCAATTTCAGTAATTTTCCTTCGATCGATCCCCGACCGATTCAATCGACAGCTTAGTTAAAGATTTTTCGATCCCCGTCCACTTCAATTGACGGCTTAAGCCGAGGTTGGAACCCCTATCGGTGCCCTCAGACTAAAGTCGTATCCGTTATGTAGGAGTTGGGCTTCAGTTGTTTCATAAGTAAAGTTTACACAGTCCGGTGAAGCTGTAAAGGCCAGCTGCGGACATTACAATAAATAAAAAAAAAATTATCAGCCATCCTCTTGCCACAACTGGTAATATCATATATATCTTAAAATTTTCAGTCTTACTACTATTTTGTAATTTTATGCATTATTTGAAACCGCTTCTAAAAGGTGAATTTTTATATCATTACATAGTATAAAACAAAGTCGCTCTCGCTGTCTGTCCGTCCCTATGTATAATTAAATCTTTAAAACAACGCAACGGATTTTGAGCGATCTTTTTTAATAGATAGACTGATTCAAGAGGAAAATTTATGTATATAATATATGTACACCCGGACGAAGCCGGGCGAGTAGCTATTATGTAAACCACTAAGTCACAATGTACTTCTTTATATAGTATAAAACGAAGTCTCCGCCGCAAAGAGAATACTCTTATATATTTTAAATTTCGCAACGGATTTTAATGCAGTTTTCAGCAATATATAGTGATTCAAGAGGAATGTTTATATGTATAATACATGCGTGTTATAGTATAGAACAAGCCGAGAAATTTAGAGATTTGTAATGCATTCGTGCGAAGCCGGGACGGGTCACTAGTATAAATAAAAGAATAACTATTCTCTTGTTTTGTCAATAATGATCTTTGTACTATTGAGAAGAGCTTGGAATTAAGCACCTGTCATATTTAGATACGATAGATGTCGTGTTATCTATAAGTAATACACGCTGGTTGTTCCACGTATTGTAAGCTATGATAACATTCCAAAGATTACCACGCGTGTCACATCTGATATATCAAGATTGAGGCATAAAAATGTACCAGTTTCTTGCCGGTTCTTCTCAATCTATATGTATATATATATTTCTCAAACTATATATATAAAAATCAAAGGTGACTGACATAGTGATCTATCAACGCACAGCCCAAACCACTGGACGGATCGGGCTGAAATTTGGCATGCAGGTAGATGTTATGACGTAGGCATCCCCTTAGAAAGGATTTTGATAATTTCTACCCCCAAGGGGATAAAATATGTATGAAAATTTGTCAATTTTAAACCGATCGGGCTATAGTAGCTTTATGCATGCAAAGTCTCACTTTGCATGCATAAAGCTACTATGACGTAGGCATCCCCTAAGAGAGGATTATGATAAAAAGCGGGCAAAAGCTAGTTTCATATATAGACAGAACTGGATGGGAAAAAAATATTGTTATGAAAAAACTTTGACTTCCATAAATGATTACTATTAAATGTAAATACATGAATAATCTTTAATTTGAATTTGATGATATCGACGTGGTTTAGAAGTAGTAAAAGAAGAAACAGACAGACAAACACAGACGTTTTACACTATTTAGAGGTACAAACTTGTTTAATACATAATTTGGGATTTTCCATTAATTTTACAATACCAACAAAAAGTTAGAATGTGTCACACAGTTTAGGTAACTTGCGCAGCATCTTTGATTACTGTAGATCTACAATCATCAGTATTTAGTAGTTGGTATTCTCAAAAATTGAGAATATAAAGAAAATGTATGTTCATATATTTATTTGCTTTTTCACAGCATCCGCTAAGTATCTTGCTTATTCTTCGGTTGTATGTATACCCGAAAATTTACACTTAAAAATATAAATTTGTTTAATTGTTTGAAATAAATAAATAGCCCTGGACAATTAACACAGCGTCATCTAGTCCCACGGTAAGCAGAGCTTGTATTATGCGTATTAGACCACTACGTGATTATTGGTATAAAATGATACAGAATGAAAAATAACCACTTATGTCATTGTTTATACAAAAAAAAAATCACATATCAGTCATATGCGCAGGCGCATACCTGCACGATGTACGCCTCCACAGTAACACTGAGTTGATAGTATAGAGTTACCATGTTTAATATAATTTTAATTATTACCTATCATGCTATCCTATTCTACTATTATGTTACAAACGCCAAAGTGTATATTTATAGATGTATTGATCGATGTTTGTTGCTCTTTCGCACAATAACTACGGAACGGATTATGATGAATCTTTACAATAATATAGCTTATATTATACATCAGAATGACATGGGCTATAATTGAAACAGATATTGTGTAAATTGGGCGACATATACTAAGCCATGTCGTGAAATTTCTTTAATTTTATTTACAATGACTCTTAGAGTTAAAATAAAAATATACATATTAAGGCGATAGGGATCAGTGGAAGTTGCCATACTGCACCGGCCGCAAATATTGAGATATAGGCAAGGCAATGATAATGTTGGAACAGCTACATAATAAATACAAAATATAATATCATACATAAATAGCTTTTAGAAAATCGATTCCTATAATAATTATCATCATCGCAGCCCGGAAGACGTCCACTGCTGGACATAGGCCTCCCCGACTGAATTATACCGGTGTCGAACCGGGTCAGTCGGTAAACCTACTATATAAAATACAATATGCAACGCATTGGTTTTGTTAGACGACAATGTATTTAATTTTCCTTCAATCACTTCTCGAGTCAGAAATCGATTTGCTTAATAATTCTACAAGTCTACTCCACTCTATTTATCTTAGTGGCACCCAATACGATGTATATCAATATGCAACGATATTGTATATCAATTCAATAATAGTTATTGAGGACTAGTTTACAACTTATTGATCAATCAGTGTACAATTGAAGTATGTATAATAATGTATTGACGGCCATCGGGTTGATAAATATACTGTATCTATTCACAGCGGGGAGGGGGATTGTTATTAATAGGCAATTTTTTTTTTAATTATTATAACAAGTATTTTAAATAACAAACTATTTAAGTATATTAATACAAATTTATATTGTTCTATGGATGGTAATGGAATAAAACGCCTACGCTAACGGTATACCTACACTACCAGAGTCAGTGGATTCATAATAGGATGAGTAGTAGTGAAGAGGTCAGGTAGCGTATCTTGGCGAAATCACCAGGAATTCATACATACTATTACCAATGTTTCACCAGTAATGGAGACTACTACACTAACAGGGTTGACTTCCACTTCAATTTTGTGATTACGAGAAGAATTTGACAATTGCATTTGAGAATTTTTATTCATGTAGGTCAGACAGGGAAATCTTTTATTATATTACAATATATTATAAGCATATTAACAAAGAATGACATATACTCACACAAAAAAAATATAGTAATCCAACGCGACACATCGAGGCAGCGTACCTAAGATACTGGCAGTGTTGCCTCTTTGAATGACCATACTTACCCTCTGGTCAAAGTAGCTACCAGCTCTAGGGTAGATAAAGGTAGCTACACTTGTGACCTAGATGAGCCGCTGAAGTACTCATCAAAAACGATTTAGCTTTCGAGCTCCATAGGCCCAACGTCTTCAAAAACCAATCTTCTGTAGACTATTTTATTAAATATATCTGTTTTTTTTTTAAACATATTTAATATGTGTACTTGTTTTTTAATAGTAATATTTTTTTACAAATTGTTGTACGTGTTTATATTAACATTGATTCCTACACTAGGCTGGTATACTTGATTTATAATGTTGCTTTCTGTTGTTGCAGTCCCCCGACATTCAAGACCCTAACACCGACATCACGTACACAGCTCAAGCAGCAGTTGATGCGCGAACATGCGCAGGAGCAACTGCGCAGAGAATCATTACAGGTACTATTTCAATAATAACTGCACCCCCACATTCCTTTTACATAGGAAACTCTAACAACCTCCACAATGCTTAAAATGTACTATGTACCGACCGTTTAAATAATTTTCAACTTCGTCACGAGTATTTCTGATACTGAAAATTGCTTGATCCGATGATTGCAATATATACCTACCTACGATATGAAAAATTCAAAAAGTAATCTACAGGTATTGAATCAATTTTGAATACAAAGTAATTTATTTGGATAAGGATTAATAAATTAATAAATAGGCGTGAGTAACATGTACAACGCGACAGTGTTATTTTTTCTATTTCTATAACTTATTACATTCGTAATATCTATTGAATGGAATAGCCGATTTGAACGATTTAAAAAGTAATATACATAAATTGAAACAGTTTTAAAAACAATAGGATTTATTTAGATAAGGATTTAAACAGAAGTATGAATAACATGGTGTAATTTTGGTCGGTATTGCTATCAACTTTTAAAAGTGGTTATTGTGACCTAACGATAATAGTTGGCCATATAGTATCCTGAAGTTTTTTGTAGTTATTAATATTTTCTTCAATATTGTAGAACATACTTTTGTTCTATCATCGATCCCGGATTCGAGATCCCGGGATCAAATCCTGCCGATCCCGATCCCGATCAAATCCTGGTCGAAGGTCCCCAAAATCTCGGGATTTTATATAACAAGTCCCGATTTTCTTTTTTGATTTGTGTTTGAATGTGTACAAAAGTTCGTCTTCACGGCGATATGATTAATGAATTTCGTAGCAATTATTTCGTTGACTACAAGTGTTTTTTGTAAGAACTATAACGATATGCTTGTAAGATTTGTCGAAGTCTATGGTATAGCATACCTAATTGTCTTACATCCCGTAGGGTATTTTGTAGGTTTCTCTAAGTGAGTCTCATAAAGATGATTTTCTCAAAGTTTATTTTTTAGTAAATATGTATTAGAATTTGTAAACTACAAATATTAGTCTTCAATGAAATTAGAAGCATAATTTTATTTAATATAGCTTTAAAATTAAACTATTACCAATTACCGAAACAAAAATAGAATTATTGAAAATAATTTACTGACTTTTCATTGCCACTGCATTCCTAAATTGATTCCGGAATCGATCCCGGGATCCTGTTATTATCTTTCAGTAATCCCGAAATGCCGGGATTAGAAAAACTAGTCGAGATCGTATTCTCTAGATGTAATGTAACTTAAAGTCTGCATATAAATTATTATTGTTAGTATTATAAATAATTCAGTAATAATACAATAATCAGTTGTACTAGCACAATAGGCACAGATAAGGTAATATGTAGTTGTAATGCTATTTGTACCGGTGTGTAAAAAATAAATAAATCTTAGTACTAAATGTAGGTTAAATCAATACACAGTTCAATGCCGAACATGCTGAACTTTAACATTTGTCTGCGAACGAGAACCGAACTCGTAACTCAAGCGACCGGACATGTCGATTTGCATACAAGCGCGGTTTTATGCAACGCGATCGATTTATCGTGCACGGTAATGTTTGCGAAATATTTTTGAATAATTTTATACTTGTTGCTGTCTACGTAAGAAAGAAGGCAAGAATAACTAAATTATAATAATAATAATTTAAATTTATATATATAAAAAAAAAGAATAATAAGACAAGTCTATCGCCCCCTTTATATATATAAAATATATATATAAAGAACAATAATAATAATAAATCTCAGGACAATTCACACAGCGCCATCTAGTCCCAAGCTAAGCTAGCTAAAGCTCGTGTTATGAGTGCTAGACAACTGATATAAAAACTTATATAATTTTTTTTATACATACATTTATATATATAGAAAACGCCCAAACCAATTAAAACATTCATACTCATGGATGCAAATGCGAGGTATCAAACCCGCGTCCATCAGAAGTAAAGAACCGCTAGACTATCGATAAATTAAAAAAAATAGTATAAATCCATTAAGCAATGAAAAGGAGTAATTTAATAAAATAAATTACTACCTACATATAATTCTTTAAAACAAAAATAATGTTCCATAACTATTTGCTATTTTTTTTTTCAAATCGCCACCTTAACGCCGCGCGGCCCCAGTCTGCGAGCTGATTTAAAAAAGTATAGTTTTTAATTGATAAAATTAAATGGATATAATTTGTTTGTATTGCAGGCACAACAAGCAGGTCAATCCAAAGACAATGAAGACAAGAAAAAATCCACACCCACAGACGTGCCGCGTATTACGCCGCATGTCGAACTACCTCCACAGGTTCTACAGGTCTGTATCTGTTTTAGATAGATAGATAGATAGACCCTCTTATTCATAAGTATAAGAATTTCCACTGTGGGCTAACTAAAATTAATTAGCTTATTTTTATATATTATTTGTTGCGCCTTGGCGCAGATGGCGCATTTTTTTTTATTTATTTCCACTATTACAATTATTTTTACAGGTCTTAACAATTAATGTTAACCAATGTAATATTAATACATTTATGTTGTAATTAATTATATATATATATAATAAATAAGGCTATTTTAATAAATTCATACAGAAAAAAAAACTTTATTTAAATAAACATTTTATAAGCACTTTTGAATAGTAATATTTGTTTTATTCTGCCACTCATTCGGAATGCAGACTCATCACGAGAAGAATGACCAAGTATTTCTATTCAAGTGTTTTTTTATAAACTATGATGGTGGCTGATGGTAAATGGTTACCGTTGCCTATGGACGCTTGAGACACCAGGGCTGTTAATAGCGCGTTGCCAACCCTTAAAAAACCTTAATATACCCTGCTTGAAAAAGTAATAATGAGGTAACTACAATCAGGTCCTTAATGTTTCCAGGTCCGAACAGTTCTGGAGAACCCCACCAGGTATCACGTGATACAGAAGCAGAAGAGTCAGGTGCGGCAGTACCTGAGTGAGTCTTTCCAACCACAGACACAGGTGAGGATGTTTTTTTAATGTAACTGGAATAGGTAAGCAATCCGTTAAGTCGTTTTTGGGTGAAAGAGTGACAAACATCCATCCATCGATACTCACAAACTTTCATATTTATAGTATTAGTTATATAAACATTTCTGATGAGTCTTTTTTGTCACCAGCCAGCCACACGAGTTGCGCCCGTGCAGTCAGCGCCCGAGTTGGGCACACAACCTCCACCATCGCCCGACAGAGCTTCCTCCTCTAGTCTACTGAGTCCAGGGATCTGTTCTGTTGGCACCAATAATTCAGAGGTACTTACTTTTGTTATATGTTATACGAGCTGACCCGTGCAACTGCTTATGAACCTTACTTGACATTTATCATTATATTTCATCCAATTTACATAACATATTTTTAAATTGTAGCCTATGCGTTATTCTGATGTATAAGCTATATTACTGTAAAGTTTCATCAAAACCCGTTTGGTAGTTTTTGCGTGAAAGAATAACAAACATCCATCCATACTCACAAACTTTCGCGTTTATAATATTAACAATATTTTTCCTCTGAATAATTCACACAGCACCATCTAGTCCCACAGTAAGTAGAACTTGTGTTATGGGTACTAGACAACTGATATAAACACTTAGATACATTTTTTTTGTAGATAAATAATATGTTATTATTATATATTCACAAAACAAAGGTATCTAAGTAATGCTTTATTTGTATATACCTAAAATTAATGGTCGCGGGTTAGATTCCTCGTACGGTACAAACATTTGTATTCATGAGTATGATTTTCTAAGTAATTTTTATGTATATTTTGTATTTATTTACAAAAAATAGATAAAAAAAGTATTTATATCAGTTGTTAGTACTTATAAAATAAGAGATCGCGCTGTGAGATTATTCTGGGTTGTTATAATAATAATAATGACAATTTGTTTATTATGTACAAGCTAGTTCGTTAGTGTAAATTACGATAAATACAAGTATCTGATATAATCTGGGATGTTCTGTCGGTTTTATCACATGTTATCAAACCCCTTCAGGCGTTTAATCATGATTGAGTAACAAGTATGAAGATATTCAGAGATTCAACGCAACAGATACACGTACATTTATGATATGAGTTTCGGAGTGATCCGGCTCGAAGGACCACTTTATGTTTGGGATCCTGCTCCTCGGAGATGAATCAAACTTGGTTGGACTGTATAGAACTGGTTTATAATATTAGAGGGAAACGGTACAAACATATTACCATGTTCAGAATATCTATATATTTCAGATATGCTATCACTAGCTGTTACAAGCGTCTTTGTTTATGTCAAATTATAAACTGTCATCCCCATTTCAACCCCTAATTTTTTAAATAAATAACAGCTTATGTCCGTATTTGTGGCATATTTGCTACCATTAGCTGTTACAAGCGTCTTTGTCAGTATAAACTTTCATCCTCATTTCAACCCCAAAATTTTTAAATAAAGAACAACCTATGTCCGTTCGACAATATGTTGTAGCACCACACATTATTTACGTAATACAGCAGTGCGCTAACTGCCATCACAACGCGAGCTCTTCTTTCATCCCATATTTCAACCACTTTCAAAGTTTAAAAAAAGTGGTCTATATCCGTGGGACCATCTATTGTAGGATCTCACATTATGTGCTCAATACACGCTAACTGCCAGCGCAGTGCGCAATGCTTTGCTTTTTGATAATTAAACTTTGTATACATAAAAGTACTTTCAAAATCGCCAAATTTTTTTTCATATAACGCATAATATTAAATCTTTGTTCTGCACAATATTAGTATTTCCACTATTGTTTAAAATAAGGTATCAATTAATAATTCTGGCATTGGGCAGGCGGATGAGTTCCTAGAGGATATCCTGTCGCTGGATGGCGCAGGCCCGTCTTCATCAGGCCCCCCGTCGGCCGCCAGCTCGGTGGCGGGAGACTGTGCCCTGCTGTCCGATGCGGACATGCATGCCCTCGCCAAGGATCGACAGAAGAAAGACAACCACAACATGAGTAAGTATCATCAGCACAATATTACTAAACGATGCGAGTAGGGGCCATTGAGAGGATAGAGGATGCGAGTAGGTTCCATTATTGCGGTAGAAGATGCGAGTAGGGCCATTTAGAGATTAGAGGATGCGAGTAGAGCCCATTGAGAGGTTAGAGGATGCGAGTAGGGGCCATTGAGAGGCCCTAGCCTCTATTAAGGCCTGTACTAGCTATTAAGAGACAAGGTATCAATAGAGGTTCTACTTAGGTGCTGTGTGATTTGTCTTTGGTTATTATAAGAATTCCTTTTTAATTCCAGTCGAGCGTCGTCGCCGATTTAACATTAACGACCGGATAAAAGAACTAGGCACTCTCCTTCCTAAATCGACGGATCCGTTCTACGAAGTAATACGGGACGTCAGGCCGAATAAAGGGACGATATTAAAGAGCAGTGTGGACTACATCAAGTGTTTGAGGGACGAAGTGAACAGGCTCAAGCAGAGTGAACAGCGGCGGAAACAGATCGAGTTGCATAACAGAAAACTCATGCTCAGGATACAGGTTAGTGCTTTGTATTAATTATAGAATCTCGACTTTAACTCTTTATAAATAAGGCCTACAATGATTATTATGCATAATAATGCACCTTTTTGATTGGGTTTTTGTTTAGTATTGACTAGTGTAATAAAAGGAGAGTCTCCTAACTGTGTCGTTTTATATTAGACTCTAAGACCAAGCGTATATATGCGTTTTTGTGTCGATACGAAGGCTGAATATGGTCCTTCACAAGCCGGATGCGTTCACAAGTGTGACGGCTTAACCGGATGTCCAATGATTATCCACTCAACCCTATTAGTCAGAACATGATCACCTCACGTATCTGGAAAATATTTGTCGTAATAAGATCGATTCGTTAATCAGTCGTGTCTGTGCCGGTTGCAGGAGCTGGAAAGGCTGGCGCGGGTGCACGGGCTGGCGCTGCCGGCCGGCGCGGGGCCCGCGGGGCCGGCGGGGCCCGGCGGGGGCGCCGCAGCCGGGGGACCGGCGGGCCCCGCCGCCGACGGGTGGGGCTCGCCGCACAACGACGACTCGGGCGTCGACACCGCCGGCTCCGACTGCCGCGCCTCCCCCGTCACCTGCGTGCCAGTAAGTACATCTCTGCTTCCCATCTCCATGTTCATGGGTCTAGTAGCTAGCCCCATTACTAGTCAAATTTCGAGCATTGGGCGACCACTATGTACCACATACACATATGAATATAATTGAAGTGCCTGGTTGTAATATTGAAATAACCGCTTTTTGCTACATTGCATACGAATATAAATTTGTAAAAAAATGTTATTTTGGTGTATGTACGGGTACATACACCAAAATAACATTTTTTTAAATTTTTGTCTGTCTGTCTGTCTATTTGTTCCGGCTAATCTCTGAAATGGTTAGACCGATTTTGACGGGACTTTTTTTGGCAGGTAGCTGATGTAATAAGGAGTAACTTAGGCTACTTTTATTTTAGAAAAATAAAGTTTAATTCCACGCGGACGAAGTCGCGGGTACAGCTAGTTAAGATATAATTTATGTTTGCAGGACGTGGTGTTACCAAAAACAGAACCATCACCCCTGATGGATCTGAGCGAGCAGTCGACAGGGTTGATGAGGGATATACCTTCAAACGAGTGTCTGACGGCCCTCGATGCGTTAGGTGAGTTCAGCAAACGATACGTATTAAATCAAATAGTGAGAAAGACTAACTGCCTTTACACGTATGCTCTTTCACGCGAGAAAGAGATTGTAAAGAGAATACAGCATGGGGTTTTTGAAGAAAGCTATATTAAGTGTGTGTGGAACATGCGCGTGACACCCCTGGTTTCAGGCGTCATCAATAGACTACAGTAACGATTTACCGTCAGATGGGCCAAAATTTAAAAATTAATATTGTCGCAACTGTGATAGAGGTACACAGAGAGAACGAGAAAGAGCGCGTGTAAGAGTACGTACTTTCGCGGGTTTTTGCAGGAATACCATAAATTCATTAAATAAAATAAAATAAAAAGCTCACGCACACTAGACATGCAAGTCTGTGCCTACCTAAGTCCATACCTAATTTTAGTGTCTTGCCTAAACCCTTCTAAAAGTATTTATTATACTTATTAATTAATAATTTTAATAAAGAATCCATTTTCCAATTAACCTAATGGTTTAGCACACCGTTTACTATCCGACGGTCGTGGGTTCGATTCTTCGCGCGGTACAAACGTTTGTATTCATGAGTATGATTGTTTGTATCGGTCTGGGTGTTTTCTATGTATTATATGTATTTACATTTATTTGTAAAAAAAAATGTATTTATATCAGTTGTATAGTACCCATAACACAAGCTCTGCTTAGCTTGGGACTAGATGGCGCTGTGTGAATTGTCCTGAGATATTATTATTCTTATTATTATTATATTTCAGATGGCTTGAAACTGGGCTCATGTTCGCCGCTGAGCCGCGACGAGGGTCTATCTCTGGGGTGCCTGGAGTCGGATCTTTGTCTGGAACCAGTCACTGACCACCTATTTAGTCATAAGGACATAAAGGTACATAGCATATATTCCATTTATTTCTTTACATACTTCGACAGTTGGTACAATATTCCACTCTCGGTGGTCTAGCGGTTTAGCACACCGGTTTGCTTCTAACGGTCACGGGTTCGAACCTCGCACGGTGCAAGTATTTGTATTCATAAGTAGGATTGTTTGTATCGGTCTGGATGTTTTCTATATATATTGTATACTAGCTGTACCTGCGACTTTTTAACTTATTTTTCTGAAATAATAGTAGCCTAAGTTACTTTTTATTACATCAGTTACCTGCCTGTAATATCGATTAAAGAATACAAAAAATAAACTTCAAATATATTAATATTAAAAAAGTTTCCAAAACCATGTTCAAGAACTCTATAGAATGAAGTACAAATTGTGTTACCAAAATAAATAATGTTGAATTTGAATATATAGAAGTAATTTTATGAATAAGAGTGAAGTGTTTAATATATAAGTTATGTGTGACCACTACAGATGCGACTGTCACCGTCCCCCGGGCTGCTGGGCGGCGAGGACAGCGAGGCGGTGCTCAACCTGGCGCAGATTGAGGACCTCATGGATGACGACTCACACAACCCTGTCACACAAGGTACATTATATATACATATATAAGCATATTATTGTGTGATTCATTAGCAATTTATAGTGACCTAGACCAATTAAAGTAAAAATATTCAATAATCTAAGTCAAAAAAGGCAAAGATAAATGTTTATTAATTTTAGGTCCAAAAATAAAGATTTTACATACAAACTTCTATCTCCTATTTTAATTTAAGGGTAACATTTTTACAAACTTTGTTTGTTACATTTATTTATATTTAATCAACAGTCTAAAACATACGTTTCAAGCTTCTAGCTTTAAAAATGAGTATACTTCCATGTAGCTTTTCGTCTCCCCTATCAACCCTTTACAACCCTTTTTTTGCATTAAAGAGTAGCCTATATCTATTGTGTACCAAATTTCATTTAAATCGGTGCAGTAGTTTTCGCGTGAAAGCGTGACAGACAGATATACAAACAGTTACTTTCGCATTTATAATATTAGTAAGAATTATTTTACATTACCACAAAACTAATATATCTCTAAAGGGTTGCCTAAAGGGATCCCTTTTAATAATATATTTTAGTAATCATATATATGATGTGTTTGTTAGTTATAATATACTGTGTGTGTTTGTTAGTTATAATATACTGTGTCTCCCCAACAGGCGACCCAATGCTGTGTTCATCCCCAACAGCAGCACTATGTCTCAGCGATGTGGTAGCTGGTGCTTTGTTACACGACGACGCGCCGCCATACTCGCACACGGACGGTCAGTACTGTTTTGGATGGTAACCTATTAATTGATTACCATCCAAAACATATTCATTATTAATTACTCTTTATTACGGCCACGGTGGTCTAGCGGTTTAGCACACGACCTTACATCGGATTGTCGCGGATTCGATTCCTCGCACGGTACAAACATTTGTATTTATGAGTATAATTGTTTGTATGGGTGTTTTATTTATTAAATATATACATATTAACTTATTATGTATGTATTTAGAAAAAAAATGTATAGATACATTTTTTTTCTAGTATTTATATCAGTTGTCTAGTAACCATAATACAAGCTCTGCTTAGTTTGCAGGACAAATGGCGCTGTGTGATTTTTTTTATGGATGATAATGGAATGGTGCACCCGTTTACTCTAACTGTGTACGCTGACAGGGCACCGGTGGAGGATGATAGGATGAACATGAGGTTAGGTCAGTTCCTAACTGACCTGCTGAACTAACTGAACTGGCATTTGACCATAAGGGCAAATGGCAATTTACCACGATGGTTTCCAGGGTGAACCGTGTAAAGGTCAACCTGACATGGTACATTGCTAGCTATATAATAGAATCACTATATTACTATTCTGAATGATAAAATCGATGCCATTTTGAAATAAATCACAATCAAATAAAAATAATTTATTCATGTAGGACATTTTAGCCACTTATGAACGTCAAATTTTTTGTATTAATACTTTTTCCCTACCGTCCAGTTCAGTACAGATTTAATTGAGAACTGGCAAGATACTCAACTGTTTTTTTTTTAATAGCAAGTTTTTTTACATGATTTATTCAGACTAGCATTTATTTGTTATTATGGAATATAGTAAATCAGTATGTCAATTAAGTGTATTTTTTTTATATCAGGTTCATCGTCACTAATGTCGGAGTCTATGGGTCTGGGCGCTGGTCTGTCGTTAGGAGAATCATGTCTTCCAACGCTGCTGCTGGGCGGCTCCCACCACCACGTGCCACATTCACCCCACTCTCACCCCCGACAACCCTGTTTCGACATGGATCTGGGAGCTTAGCACACGTACCCTTTGAAGGTACGATATCACGGTACCACTGAAGGAAAGGAATTAACGCCATCTAGCGGATAAAGCAATATAACCGTTCAGCGACATCTATCGGTCGCTGTACGAACTAGTAATGTTAGATTTTTGTTGTAAACGAAATATTAAACTTAAACCGGCAAATTATAAACGTAGTTATTGTTATGTGTTTTATAGAAATATCAATTGTTATTTATCGGTATTTTATTTCGGTGACAACGTAAATGGTTGTACGTTTACGCATGTTGTCAAAAGATGGCGCTGTACAATAAATGTGAATACACGGTAGCTTTCCCTTCCTGATTACCTAACAAATAAGAGATCTCTTCGATTGTCTGGTTTTTAAAAGACGTATAAATTATGAGAGAATGGATGTACTATCGAATAAGTTTCAAATGTTAAGTCAAGTGTGAGTCGACATAAACGTGAGAGAGTTCCATGCCAGCTATATTGCGCAATTGTACGTCAAACTGTCATAAATAAGTATTGAAAAACGAAAAAGACAGACACAATTTCATATTTTTAATATTATTATAGATTATAACGATACAACAACAAAAAGAAAGGATATTTTTTTTCTCTCTGTACTTTGACCCATATGTACAGTCATAGTCATAAAAAAAGCTTATAAATATATGTAAATACGTGTAAAGTAATATAGCAGGCATCGAACTCCAAATAGACGTATCTAGTTTATGTGTTCATAAATTTCATATACCATTTATAGAAAAAACATACATTATTTCAGAAACAATTCACTGGAACAAATGTCAATTATTGTAATATATTGATACAATTATAACGTTATAATATACTTTCTTTGGCTCAAAATATTGTATAGACATTTAAAAAGTAAAACCCAGTCGATGGTATAGAGAAACCAAAGAGATCATGATGTTCTTCTCGAAAAAACTACGCATCTATCATTCACTATTAAAGTATGAACTTCCTAATTAGTGAAAATATTTAGTCGTTTAGTTGTTTAGTTAATGTGATGAATTCGTTACCAGCTCGTTGTTTTGTTCGTTTAATATTTAATGACATGTATTAGACAAATTTTGCTGTAACGTTCGGGTTATCCGACTGCGTCAAACTTAATGAGGGTAATGTGTTAGCGAATAATTCGTTTGTCGAATGAAATGAACACAATCTGTTTGGTGCTGATAAGAAATATGTATCGTTAAATATATTTTATATGCATTTTAGATGTAAATGCAAATTATTAGAATCCGCTATTTTTCTACTAGTAAATTCTAAGCCAGTTTTTGGCATAAGTAGTGAAAATTGTTAAGTTCGTGAACTTGAATGTAGATGGCGCTATTCGGTAATTATTTATAATAAGTAATGTGATTATACTAACAAAATAAAATGACCAAACAACAACATAAAGAGTTATTCGAATTCGCTATATTACCGATATTTTTAAAAAGGGATTTGGGCTATTACTCGACGCTTAGACACTAGCACTGCGATCTAGAGGAGGTTTGACGGTTCTTGCTCACAAAAAAACCACACGGTCTATTCAATACCAAATTCCAACCGATTTTTTATCGTCTGGAAAGTTCTTCAAAACACCGTCCCCACGCCAGAAGGGAGACGAGGGGCTATTTGCTTCTTACTCACATAAAAAAACACACGGTCTCCTCAAAACCAAATTCCACCCGTTTTTTATAGTCTGGAAACATCTTCAAAAGACCTTTCCCCCGCCAGAAGAGAGACGAGGTGCTGTTTCTTTCTTACTCACTACAAACCACACGATGTAGCTACGAGCGGCATTGCCGGAGTCGCGAGATCGCGTTAGTATTCTACCGCGACTACAGCAATGTTGTTAGGGCGCCCTATCTCGTTGTTAGGGCGACCTATCTCGTTGTTAGGGCGACCTATCTCGTTGTTAGGGCGGCCTATCTCGTTGTTAGGGCGCCCTATCTCGTTGGTCGGGCGACCTATCTCGTCGTTAGGGCGACCTATTCCGCCCTACTCAATTGTGGAACCGTGTTGGTATGCGTTTCCTTAGTCCTTTGGGAGAAAATTCAACCCCGACAGCTAGAATAGAACGCCCTTACGTATTGTAACAAATATATTTCATGCAAATATCTAGAATTCATTTAATATTTTAACGAAAGTAATGTTTTGGTTGTTTATTTTGTTAGATTTGATCGCACTGAATGTTTTGTTGATATTGTAAGTTCACGAATAATAAATAGTAAAAATATAATAGTATTAAAGTTTATTACAAGCCGAATAAACATGGTGCTATATCACTGTATAGAGTTATTGAAAGTTACTATCAGTCTGAACTCGCAGTATTATTGTATTATTCATATTACCGTTAATATATATATATGACCTCGATGGTCTAGCGGGGTATAGCACATCGCTTTACTTCTGATGGTCGCGGGTTCAATTCCTCGCACGGTGCAAACATTTGTATTCATGAGTATCATTGTTTGTATCGGTCTGGGTATTTTCTATGTATATTATGTATGTATTAAAAAAAATACATCTTAGTATTTATATCAGTTGTCTAGTACCCAGAACACAAGCACTGCTTACCGTGGGACTAGATGGCGCTGTGTTAATTGTCCAGAGTTATTTATTTAAATGTATTTTAATAAGTAATAATAATATATTACGCCAATAAAAACACGCTATAATAACCCGAAATCCAGTGTTATTGACCATAAAGTTATTCCTGTTAAAACCCGGTTAACAATATAAATAATGTATATTAAACAGGAAAGTATAAAAATAATTATTCCTAACACTGTTTACACTTGTTAAGAATACTTACGTTTTTTTTTTAAATGAATTCAAATATTATAATTATTTAAAAAAAGTACTTTATTGTCTATGGTTTAAATCAGTGATTTCCAAAATGGTCTATATCGACCCCCAGGTGTCTATGACAAACTGCAAGGGGTACGACAACGGTCGTCTGGTTGTTTTTACTTCATGTTTATAAAACTAAACTTTACTACAGTTAGAAATTTACAAAAAATCAATACCAGGTATGAATGGGGGGTCTACCCAAAACAGAAAAATATGGCAAGTGGTCTACGACATAAAAAAGTTTGGAAACCTGTGGTTTAAATGAATAACACTGGATTTTAGTTCGTTATATATACCTAAATAAAAAAAAAACAAACGCAATAACTTTATTTTTTTTTCGTAAAAAACTAATATAAAATAATTAGAATTATTTTAAAAATAACTATTTCTAACACTGTTTGCAGTTGTTAGGAATACTTACTTTTTTTTTAAATAATTCAAATATTAGAATTATTTTAATAATACTTTATTTGTCTATGGTTTAAATAAATAACACTGAATTTCATTTCATTGTATATACCTAAATAAAAAACACACTGTTTTGTCACGGTGTTTTTTTTTATACATTGCGAGTCGGACTTAAGTAATACGATACAGATTATTATATATATAAATTATATATCATATATATAAAAACTAAGATATAACAACCGATGGACCACAATTTAATAAGAGATGTGATACAATATATTTTTAGAAGATATTTATGAATTTTACTATTAGAAAAAAACCTATTATTTTTGTATATAAAAATTAGTTGTTTAATCGTATTGCTTTTAGCGCATGTTGGTAACAAGCTATGTATATAGTAGAATTGTTGATATCTAACACTGGTTAAGTGAAGCATTGTATTGTTAAGTTTGTGATGAATTTATTGAAACTGCACGTTAGAATAACTGCAGTGTTGTATTAAAAGGTTTATCATCCTATATGTGTTATTGCAATAACTTAGTTATCAACTTTAAGTATAAATATAACTAATAGCTGTGCCTGCGACTTTGTCCGCGTGGAATAGACGGACGAATGGGGAATTTTATATGGATGTATAGTGAAAATATGAATAATGAAAAAATGTTTATTTCTCTAAAAAAACATTCGATTACAATAACGTGTCATGTACATCCCGCTCTTCCATAAACATTTATAATAGTTTTTTTTTAAGATTTTTAGACATTATGACGACCTCGGTGGTCTAGCGGTCTAGCACACCGTTTTACGACCGATGGTCGCGGGTTCGATTCCTCGTACGGCACAAACATTTGTATATATGAGTATGATTGTTTGTATCGGTCTGGGTGTTTAGTATTATATTTATGTATTTACAAAAAAAATCTATGTATATGTATCAGTTATCTAGTACCCATCTAGTACCCACACAAGCTTTAGCTAGCTTATCTTGGGTCTAGGGTGCGCTGTGTGAATTGTCCTGAGGTTATTATTATTATTATTAGATACCAAATATTACTAAACAAAAGATACTTATTAGATGTTAATTATAAAAAATTACAAGATATATACAATGAAAAAGTAATTATTAAGATTTTACATATACAGCACGCTATATGTGCTTTTTTTTTATTTTCTTTCTTTTTTTCTATACCTATCCACAAATAAAAATATACTACTTACAAATAATAAACGTATGTAAACTCTTGCTTTTGAACTATTTTATCCTACACTCTCCAGCTAGCTTCTTTAATAAAAAATTACAGTTCTATTATAATAAAAAATATATGTAATGAGATGGAACTGGCTTCTGTTTTACAGCATATGCTAGTACAGAAGTCAGGACTACACAAAAATTGAATAAGTATTCATAACACAAGTTCTGGTTAGCTTGCCACTAGATGACGCTGTGTGAATTGTCCAGAGTCATTATATATCATAGTCAGCGCTGTATAGGTGCACCTCATTGAGGTTGTGCTTATATCAGCAACAGCTGAGGCCAACTTTCTAGTTTTACAGCATATGCTAGTACAGAAGTAAGGACTACACAAAAAATGTATAAAAGATTACAGTATTGTAAAAAAAATTAATATATCAGAACATTAACAGCTTCTGTTAGTACAGAAGTCAGAACTACACAACAATTGAGCAAAATATAATTGTTGTATTGTAAAAAAATCGTAACAAACATTGTAATTAAATCTGAAATGATTGGTTTGTTGCAGTATTTTTATTTTAGTTCTTAAAGTTGATAACTAATTTGCAATAATGTTTGAAATACAGAACAAAATATTTATATTACTATTTATAAGAATATGTTTAAGTTAAACGTGAATCAGTGAGCCTTATTATTACTTTATTTTAAATGTAGCTCTTAAATCGTGATTGATATTGTTATTAAATGAATGTTACTTTGTATAATTCGCTCGGCAGCAATAATCGAAATTACGACGGCCTGAGCCGAGGTTCGAACCCATAGCGGTGCCCTCAGACTCTTTAGTCTGTCGTATCCATCAGGCGAGAGTTGGCCTTCAGCCGCTGAATAAGTCCTTTCTTTGGTTTGGAGTGCCATCTGCACTCGCCCCCTATCGTCCGGTCAAGCTGTAAATGCCAGCTGGGCCAACAGCATTAGAGTAGTCCGAAAAAATAGAGTGAGGCACAGATTAGCCATGCAGACTTCATCTGGTGCTGTAT